TGCTGCTTGGCCTGCTGTGTTCATCCAGCCCTGCACCTTGTTGTCTCTTAATACTGGAAGATTTCATTATGACAATGCTTGTGTATTCTGGGGATAAGGTTGTTCAGAGTCAGGGAGGAAGAATAGACAATGGAAAACAAAATCCTTCAAAACTTAAACACAATTCATTCTGATGAAGCTGCTTCAATAGTTGAATTTCTCATCAACATCTCAGATGTGAAAGTATGCGTGAAAACACATGGATGAAGTACTAGCATTCTATTCGCACCCATCAAACAGGATAATTCCATGGTGAAGATATCAGCAGAAATGGTTGTCACAACAGGAATGTGTGTCAAGAGACCTCAGCTTTGTGGAAATCGGTACTTGATCTCACCCGTATAAAGCCAATGAGCTGCACATGACTATAGTTCATCCTTAGAATGCTCTGCCGTTGCAGACTCAGGAAATGTAGCTGGATCCTTTGTCAACTTAGCCTGAGGGTAAGTCCTGGGAAAAAGAAGGTGAAAAGTTAAGGTTGATGGGGGACAAGCGTGAGCTCAGGCTTGCATGTATCAGTCCATAACAGATGGGAGCTTTTGATAACAAAAATGGTGAGGACATCAGAACTGGTTTCCCCACATGTGGCTTTAAATACGGAAAGATAAAAATTTCTGTTCAGAGACCCCAGCTCCTGCACGGAATTTGTAATTTCATTCATTGCTGAGAGTCTTACCATTGATATGATACCATACTTATCCATTAATTCAATGCTGGAAACAGCTGAAACAGATTTATAATGAGTGAGTTTTTAACAGTCTAAAGCTGTTAATTACATGTGAACAACCTCTCTAGCCCTGAAAAGTGAATTTCAGAAGTGTAGAACTACATTCCTTGAGAAGACAATTAATAGTGGAGATTTGTTTAAAAAATTGCTTTTTATTTCTGTCTCTCACCTCTCTCCCTTAATCCAATCTGAATTTCAGATTTTTTATTTTACTTTCTATGCATCATTTACAGTTAATTCGTATTTCTGGATTTATACCTGTTGGTTTCAACTCTGTGTGTCTCAGTGCAAATTCTTAAATCTGATTGGTTAAAGAGTTCACAAACATTGGAGAACTCATATAGAATGTAATGTGGCCCTGTCCTTAACCCTAATCTTGCTCTTTCTGATCCCATTCACTCCTACTGAATTACAGTTCCATTTCTAAACTGAGCAACAGAGAACTATGTAAATGTACAAAGGATATTTTCTCTTGTGGGACAGTCCAGAACTAAGGGGGGATCGTTTTATAATTAGGCATCATCCCTTTAGGACCAAGACAAGAAGAATTTTTTCTCTCTCTCTTTCAGTGTGTTGTAGCACTTTGGAACTCATAGGATGGCGTAAGCAGGGTTATTGAATATTTTTGAGGTAGAGGTGGATTGATTCTTATGAAGCAGGAAATCAAAAGTCATTATGGTTTGATGGAAATGGGGAATTAAAAGCATAAAAATATCAGCTATCATCTTATTGAATGGCACAGCAGGTTCGGGGGACCCAAAGGTCTATTTCCGCTTCTAGTTCATATATTTGTATGCAACACTGGGGAATTAGTTAGCACAGCTGGCTGGACAGCTGGTTTGCAATGCAGTATAATGTCAATGACATGAGCTCAATTCCTGCAATAAGTGAGGTTACTAGGCAGGACTCTCCTTCGCAACTGCTCCCCTCACCTGAGGTGTGCTGATCCTCAGGTTAAACCACCACCAATCATCTCTCAGTCTAATGGCCCAGTCAGACTATATGTGTCACATTTTGTTTTATAATGCTCCTGTAAGGCATCTAGCAATGTTTCATTATGTGAAAGACGCGATATAAATATAAATTGTTGTCATTGTAAACAGATCAGCAGACCTGGAAATCCATTTAGTATGTTTCTAAATATCTTTTGTTCAAGTTGCAATTTTTTCTCCATTTTTAATGCAGCAGCAGAACTAAATCGAAGTACTGTAATACTGACAGCACATTCAGGTAGTCTGCATGCAAGTCCCGAGTAATGACAACAGAATATACAGCACCTCAGTAAAGCTGCTATGTAATAACTCCTGACACTAATAATTATTAAGTGAAGCTTTTGCATGCACAGGCTGTTAGCTTAATAACAATTCATGCTACTGCAGCCCCAGTTATGACACACTGAATATGCAGACTATAAATAGTTGGTATGAAAGTTATTGGAAGAATTAATAACACTGCCTCAGGGTTACAACTAATTCTACTAAGACTTCATGTGACACTTAACAGCTATTATACATGACAACACAAAAGCATTGTCAATTTGCACTGTAATACATGAATTCTTCCCACTAGTAACTCAGTTACATTGTAATGAGCTCCCTGTGTCCCTGTATCTTTTCCTAATCCGTTTTATAAGCTGATCAGCTCCTAAGCAGCCATTATAATTTAATGACTAGCACCCCCAAAACATCATCTTATTTTCTCTGTCAACCTGCCCCCTCCCCTTTGAACAAAATGTTCCTACACCCACCTACATCTCTGGGTAGAGCAGGCAGTAAAATCACATTAAAATCAACACACGATTCCCAGAAGTCTCCATCGAGGAACAAGATTTATTTTAATTGTGAATTAGTTTTTGATGTTGATTGTATGTTTGGTAACCTATCAGATGGAGTACTAGACTCTGGAAGTCTGTAAGAATTAATTGCACCCAACCAACCTCCAAGAATTCTATATTCCTCCATATCTGGTCCCTTGTGCCTCAACCATCTCCTTCACCCACCAATTTTGGCATTGCCCTCAGGGCCTAAGCTCTGGAATTCTATTCACAAACTCTTCTTCTCTCCACTTCCCTGACATACCACTTGAAACAACATCTTTGATCAAGCTTTTTGACAACTTGCCCATATTATCTACCTACTGTGGCTCAAAAAATATCTGATTACAGTGAGGCACTTTGGGATGTTTTACTTCATTAAGGGCACTGTATAATTACAGGTTGCTGTTAGTTACAACCAAATTTGAAATTGTTTTTTGCTATAATAGAAAATTGACATTTTTATTTCATGTCATGAATCTAACTATTTAAAAAACTATGCTGCTGTGGTTATCAATATAATCAAAACTAAAATTGGGCAAATTGCCTGGATCTGTCTAGATAACAGAGGAAGAAATGGGTTTCTTCTTTAAGTGAATCAATAGGGCAAAATGTGTGTGTTATTCAACCTTTACTAATCATATGTCCTCCCCATTTTGTCCCTGCTCTTTCTGGTCCTTCTGAAAGGAGTTGGGAGAGAAACTCCACTTACTGTCTGTGCACGGAGTCTAGGCTGACACTTTGGAGCGGTACTGAGGCTGTGCTGCGTGGTGGAAGGTGCTGCTTTCCAAATGAAATGTCGGATCGAGTCTCCATTTGTCCCTCTCAAATCCCATGGCACCTTTTGAAGAACAGCAGGTTGACTGCCCTCAACCAAATCCAAATGGTCGCCTATTTCATTGCTATGTTTGGGAGCTTCCTGAGTGCAAATAGGCTGCCAAACTTCTTGTACTACTGCAGTGACAGAAAGAAAAGTCACATTTGGATGCGTGGAGATGGTGAAAGCCAGTATAAAAATTCAGCCGTTTTATTTGTAAAAGTTACTGTGTTGGTAGTTAGAAACAAGTGCATGTGTTCAAGGCTCTGGCTTTAGCTATGACTGTGCACACACACTGAGGTCGATCGGTATGAAAGGTGTTTCTAACTGATAGACACCAACAGCAATTCTGGTTGGTGGAAAGTAAGTGGAGTAACTGTAGAGTGATGAAAACAACAACAGAAGTTGCGAAGGAAGTTCGGCAGGTCTGGTTGCATCTGTGAAGACTAAACAGAGTTAACGTTTTAAGTCCAGTGACCCTTTTTCCAGAACTGATAGTAGCCAGGAAAATGTGATATTTATGCAGATAATAGAAGGTGGGAGATAGGGGAGTGAGTGGATAATTGGAGATAGAGTCACAGAGAGAGAGAGAGAAAGAAAGAAGAAAAGTTAGGTAGGCAAAGAGATTGTTAATAGTAAGCCAGGGAAGAAGAAAAGCTAGATAGGCGATGATGGAACCAGTGAATGAGTGAAAATGGATTGGCTGTACTGAAAGCAACCCATGTCAAGACAGGATCTGGGGTGTGGGGGTGGGTAAAGGACACAGTTGGAGGTGCTTATGCTCTAAAATTATTCAACTCGAAATTGGGTCCTGAAGGCTGCAGGGTCTCCAAGCGGAAAATGAGAAGCTTTTCTTTCAGTTTGCACTGAGCCTCGCTGGAGTGCTGCAGCAAGCCTGAAACAGAGATTCTGGCCAGGGAACACAGTAGTGTGTTGAAGTGGCAGGCAACTAGAAGCTTGGGGTAATTTTTTACAGACATAATGTAGGTGTTCCGCAAAGTGGTCACCCAGTCTGCATTTCGTCTCCCTAATGTCGAGGAGACAGCAGTGTGAGCAATTCAGAGTGATGATAGTCAACAGTGATGTCTACTGCCAATCAATAGTTACAAGCCCAAATTGGACATAAATTAGCAACTAGACAGATAATCCCTCACTGCTGGAATAAGCTCAGTCACTGCTGGGATGAAAATCTTGGAGCTACTTTGACATAAGGTAGGAAATAATGGTAGTTAAAGGAAAATGTGAAATGACACATTGGCTGAGGGGTGACCTTAAAGAGGTTTATAAAATCATGAGGGGCATGGATAGGGTAAATAGACAGGATCTCTTCGGGGTAGGGGAGTCCAAAACTAGAGGGCATAGGTTTAAGTTGAGTGGGGAAAATATAAAAAGGGCTTAAGGGGCAACTTTTTCACACAGAATGGTGCGTATATGGAATGTGCTGCCAAGGGAAATGATGGAGACTGGTGCAATTACAACATTTAAAAGGCAACTGGATAGGTATATTAATAGGAAGGATTTAGAGAGAAATGGGCCAAATGCTGGCAATGGGACTAAATTTATACGGAATATCTTGTCGGCATGGGCGATTTGGATGGAAGCGTATGTTTCCATGCTGTATATCTCTATGACTCTATGACTCTAAATGAGATAAATATATCACCCAAGCATCAGTTGTTCCAGTATGGTGAACTTATTTAAACCATTGACACCATCCATTTCATCCTATATAGCTCTGTGTTGATGTGTTGTGTGAATACATGATCAAAGAAAATAATTGCTTAACACTGCAACAAAACAGACACTCATTTTTGAGTTGTCTCCAGGTAAAATCAGAAATCAAGGCACAATTTAGACAATGGCTTGCACAGAACACTAGTTTATTAATTTTTAAGTATATACTTCTGGCTTTTAAAATTGCACAGTACATGTTTTTTTATAACAAGGAGAAAGAACAGTCAAACACAGTCTTCAATAAATAGTCTTAGATCGCTTTACAAAGTTCTAAAATACGTTTTACTAAAATTTGTGATCTTCAGGCTAGATGTTAAATATGTGTACTAAATCTTCGACTGTCTACCTCAATCACTTTA